AAGGGGTTGCCGAAAAAACTGCGTCCCGACTACTTTCACTTTTGAAAGCTCCTCTTTTGAAAGTAAAATCGGAAGAAGATATGCAAATTCCTTCAGAATTGGCATATCCTCTTTAGAAACTTCAGTGTAGTCTAGACGAGCCCTTACTATATAACAAATTTGGTGGTCCTAGCTCTTACCATTTAAGTGAAGTTCTTGGACAGATGGACAGACAGACAAATTCTTTCATTGTAGATTTGAACAGTTGGCTTTTCAGCTTCAGTAATTTTAAGGTTATCAAATAAGGTTATTTATTCGAGTTGCTTATAGAGTCCATATACTATTAGCAGATCAGGTATCAATCTTCTTTTGTCCATTTGTAAATCAGGGTTTGAAGAGATTCCTTCACTTGTATTCTCCAGTGAGGTGTTGGGCTACTTAGATATTGTCACACCTACAACTGTAATATTGAAATGCCAAACTGGCTTCCCAGTGCTTTTAGTGAGCTCTTAGCTCAGGGGTGGGCAATAATTTTTGATGGGGAGTCGCTCCAAGATTTTGGTAAGTGATCAAGTAGTTATTTTTTCTGTGGAAATTATATGGGGTCTAGTACAGAGGCTGGGTGCAGAAGGGAGTTCTGGTCTGGGGTGCAGGAGAGGGTGTGGGGTCTGAGAGGGAGATTTAGTGAAAGAGAGGGTTGTGACCTAAGGCAGGAGATTGGGATCCAGAGTCTGGGAAAGGGTATGGGTGCAGTAGAGGATTATGGACGTAGAATGGGATGCACGGTCTGGGAGGGAGTTGGTGCATGGCAGGGGGTGGGGTGCCAGAGCAGGCTCTCACTGTGAGGGGCTTACCTTAGCAGCTCTCAGCCAGCAGCCCAGCAGGACTCTGAAGCAGGCTTTCCTGTCTGCCAGGAGCCCCATACTGCTCAAAAGGGATGGCTGTTCTATGTGGCCCTCTGCACTGGTGGGGGGAAGGCTTCATGTGCTGCCCCCACTCCTAACACAATTTCTTAGATGTCGTTGGCTAGGAAATTGTGCTGGGAGTGGGGGCATCATGCAGAGCCCCTGCCCTACTTCCCCAGAGTGGAGAGAACCACAGGGAGCAGCCAACCGCTTTGAGAGCGTGGAGCTGCTCCATGCTGCAGGAGTGGGTCTTGAGCCAGACTAAAAGGCTTGGCAGGCTGCATTTTGTCTACCCTGTCTTAGCTGTTACATCTATTTTCATTTTCCAAGTGTTTTGCATTCCCCCATGCCCTAAAAAAGTACTTTAACCAGTCCATTTGTGTGGGGTGTTTTCCCCCAGAGCTATAGCAACTGTACTCTATTAACTGGATATGAAACAAACTCTTGTCTGCTAGGTAACTAGAACCAGGGCTCCATGAATTATTCAAACCCGATGTAGGTTTGAGGATAAAGACTAAGAAAATATCTAAGGTACCGAGGTAGTTTTAATTAGAGCTGTGGCAGTGCTTGCAGCCCACTTTCTCTCTCCTTTTTGGGTGGATTGCTAATACTGAATAATACCCTGATACAGGCATAGATGAACACAACTTAATATTACAAAACTAAATTGCTTGCACTGGATTACTGTGGTTCTCAAAATATATTCCCATCACAGATGCATGCTGATTCTTGTCCCCTTTTTCATCAGAGCCTGTAGTCTGAAGATGCTGTCAGAAACTCAGAGAGGAGAGCCATGCACCTCTTTCTAAACTCTTCTTTTGTGCTAATATGTATATATTAATGTGTGTAATATTTTATAAATTGATATTGTTATAGATATTCAGTTAAAACAAATGCTGCTGGAAAACTGTAAACCTTAAAAGATTTTTTGCATTATTTGCTTATTCCATACATTGGCTTCTATTTTTCATAGATTTACAGTATGAGTTTGCGCCTTTCTGCTTTCTTTGAGGAACACATAAGTTCCGTTTTATCAGATTATAAATCTGCTCTGCGCTTTCACAAAAGAAATACGATAAAGAAACGAAGGAGGAAAAGAAGAAGAAGCAGCTCTGTTTCCAGTAGTGCTGCATCAAGGTACGTTAATTTCTGAAAGATAATATGAAATCCTATATAAGCCTGACATATCTACACAGTAGAACTTGATGTGGTATTTTTTAATACTTCCTTTATTATTCCTTATATTGCTGAATGATATATTTGATATGCAAGTTCCTATGATGTGGAAGCTTTTTAAACTTTTAACAAAAGCTATCATAGTGAAAGTTATTAAAATTCAAATAACTGCTAAACATACAGTAGAAAAGCATTGTTAAAATAATGATGGCATCATATTTTGCAATATAACTAGCATTTAGAGTGATTCTTCATTAAAGATTCACTTACAGAGGATCACTACATTAAATTCCTTTATCAATGTTTTATATTCACACATTTTATATGGAAACAGCTATATTACTTCCACAGCCTTAGGCCACTTTTACATTATGAGATTAGATCGGATTTATCAAGGACAACTTGAGTTGAGCAAGTACTTGAGTTGAGCAACTTGCAAATGCCACTGGTGTTCAATCCACTGGATACAGTGAAACACCGGTTCTGATGCCTTCAGACAAGCACAGACTGGTGGGACAATCAGGAGTGCATATGCGCAAGTCCACTTTCATGGAACTTTGCAAACTGTTTTCCCCTGCCCTGAAGCACAAGAAAACCAGAAAGAGACCTGCTGTGACAGTAGAGAAGCACATGGCAATTGCCCTCTGGAAGCTTGCAATGCCAGAGAGCTACCAGTCAGTTGGGAATCAATTCGTAGTGGGGAAACTTACAGTGGGGGCAGTCGTGTTCCAAATGGCCTTCTACTGCGGAGAGTAGTGACACTTGGAAATGTGAAGGACATAGTGTCAGGCTGGGATTCCCCAACTGGGGTGAAGCAATAGATGGAACGCACATCCCTATCTTTGTCCCTAACCATCTTGCCATGCAGTACATAAACTGCAAAAAGTACTTGTCGGTGCTGCAGGCTCTGGTGGATCACAAGGGCCGTTTCACTAACGTCAATGTAGGATGGAAGGGAAAGGTGCATGATGTGCACATCTTTAGGAACTCCTGTCTGTTCCCAAAGCTATAAGCTGGAACTTTCTTCCCAGACTGGAAAATTAACATTGTGGGCATTGAAATGCCAATAAGAACCAGCCTACCCCTTGCTCCAGTGGTTCATGAAACCGTACAAGGGCAGCCTGGGCTGCAACATGGAGCAGTTCAACTATAAGCTGAGCAAGTACAGAATGGTAGTACCATGTGCTTTTAGACATTTAAAGGAAAGGTTCCGTAGTCTGTTGACTAGATTTAGATCTCAGCAAAAGCAATATTCCCATTCCCAGACAGCTATGTGCTCCATAATACTTTGTGAGAGCAAGGGAAAAGTTTGTTGCAGGGTGGAACATTGAGGCAGAGCGCCTAGCCACAAATTATGAGCAGCCAGACACTAGGGCAATAAGAAGAGCTCTGTGAGGGGCAGTGGCCAGAGATGAACATAAAAACAGCCACACTGGGTCAGACCAAAGGTCCATCTAGACCAGTATCCTGTCTGCCAACAGTGACCAATACCAGATACCTCAGAAGGTGGAGTCACAACAGGTAATCCTCACGTGATCCCTCCCCTGTCACCCACCTTCAGAGAAACAGAGGCTAGGGATACCATTCCTACCCATCCTGGCTAATAGCCAGTGATGGACCTAACCTTCATGAATCTATCTAGCTCTTTTTTGAACACTGTTAAAGTTCTAGCCTTCACTGCATCCTCTGGGTAGGAGTTCCACTGGTTGATAGTGCACTGAGTGAAGAAAAACTCCCTTTTTAGTTGTTGTTTTTGGGTGGGGTTTTTTGTTTTTGTTTGTTTTAAACCTGCTGCCTATTAATTTCATTTGACCCCTAGTTGTTTTATTGTGCGTCCTCTTTTCTAAGCTGAAAAGTCCAAGTCTTTTTAATCTCTCTTCATATGGGGCCAGTTCCAAACCCCTAATCATTTTTGTTGCCCTTTTCTGAACCTTTTCCAATGCCAATACATCTTTTTTTGAGATGAGGCGACCACATCTATACGCAGTATTCCAGATGTGGGCATACCATAGTTTTATATAGAAGCAATAAGATATTTTCTGTATTATTCTCTATCCCTTTTTTAATTACTCCTAACATTTTATTTGCTTTTTTGACTGCTGCTACACACTGAGTGGATGTTTTCAGAGCACTGTCCAACATGACTCCGAGATTTTTATCTTGAGTAGTTGTGGCCAAATTAGTCCCCATCATATTGTATGTATAGTTGGAATTATTTTTTTTCCGATGTGCATTACTTTACATTATCAACATTAAATTTTATTTGCCATTTTGTTGGCCAATCATTTAGTTTGGTGAGATCTTTTTGAAGCTCTTCACAGTCTGCTTTGGTTTTAACTGTTTTGAGCAGTTTGGTATCATCTGCAATATTTGCCATCTCACTGTTAACCCCTTTCTCTAGATCATTTATAAATAAATTGAATAGGATTGGTCCCAGAACAGACCTTTGGAGCACCCCACTAGTTAACATCTCTCCACTTGGAAAACTTACCATTTATTCCTACCCTTTGTTTCCTGTTTTAACCAGTTATCAATCCACGAAAGTACCTTCTCTCTTATCCCATGACAACTTACTTTACTTAAGAGCCTTTGGTGAGGGACCTTGTCAAAGGCTTTCTGGAAATCTAAGTATACTGTATCCACTGGACTCCCCTTGTCCACATGTGTGTTGCCCCTTCAAAGAACTCCAGCAGTTTAGTAAGGCGTGATTTCCCTTTACAGAAACCATGTTGGTTTTCCCTCAACAAATTATATTTATCCATGTGTCTGGATTAATTTTTATTCTTTATTATACAGTAGTTTCAACTAATTTGCCAGGTACTGATGCAAGACTTACCGGTCACCTCTAGAGCCCTTTTTAAATATTGGCGTCACTTTAGCTATCTTCCAATCATTAGGTACGGTAGCCGATTTAAAGGATAGGTTACAAACCAAAGTTAATACTTCCACAATTTTCCATTTTAGTTCTTTCAAAACTTTTGGGTGAATGCCATCTGGTCCTGGTGACTTATTACTGTTAAGTTTATCAATTTGTTCCACAACCTCCTCTGATGACACCTCAGTCTGGGACAATTCCTCAGATATGTCACCTAAAAAGAATGTCTCAGGTTTGAGAATCTCAATGTCCTCAGCCATGAAGATTGAAGCAAAGAATTCATTTAACTTTTACTCCATCACTATAATCTTTGAGTGCTCCTTTAGCATCTCAATCGTCCAAGGGCCCCACTGGTTGTTTAGCCGGCTTTCTGATTTTGATGTACTTTTAAAAAAATTACTATTACTTTTTGAGTTTTTGTCTAGCTGTTCTTTAAACTCCATTTTGGCTTTTCTTATATTTTTACACTTAATTTGACAACGTTTATGGTCCTTTTTATTTTCCTCACTAGGATCTGACTTACACTTTTTAAAAGATATCTTTTTATCTGTCATTTCTTCTTTTACCTGGTTGTTAAGCTACAGCGGCACTTCTTTGGTTCTTTTACTGTGTTTTTAAATTTGGGGTATTTAGTTAAGTTGGGCCTCTATTATGGTGTTTTTGAAAAGTTTCCATGCAGCCTGCAGAGATTTTACTTTTGTCACTGTACCTTTTAATTTCTGTTTAACTAACTTCCTCATTTTTGTGTAGTTCCCCTTTTTTAAATTAAATGCCACAGCGTTGGGCTGCTGAGTTGTTTTTCCCACCACAAAGATGTTAAAATTTATTATATTATGATCACTGTTTCCAAGCAGTCCAATTATATTTGCCTTTTGAACCAGATCCCGGCCTCCACTTAGGACTAAATCAAGAATAACCTCTCCCCTTGTGGGTTGCAGAACCAGCTGGTCCAAGAAGCAGTCATTTATGGCTGTGAGGGGTTCAGGGTGCGATCACCCCCTCTCAGCCTGAGGGGGGGGGTCTGCGGACCCTCTTGTTCTCTCTTGGTCCCTCGTTGACTCCAGGGTCCCCGCTATGGGGCCCGCGATCTTGGGTGCGATCACCCCCTCCCGGGAGGAAGGGGGGGTCAGCGAACCCTGCAATAGTTACCTGTCCCTGCGGGGTGGGGCAAAAGGCCCCTAGTCTGGGTTTTTCCCCCTCGTGGGGTTCCGACTTGTATCTCGCCTTCGCTATGGTCGTTGGGAGCGAGATGTTCCTTTAGGAGAGGGAGGGGGACCTGGTCCCACCCTCTCTCCGGGTCCCAGCCCAGGGCCCTGAGCGTCGGGGCTTGCTAGTACCCCGGCGCAGTGGACGGGGGGGGTCACTCCCTCCAAAACCCATCCACCCAAGGACGCCAAAAGTGTCCTGCCCCGGGTTCCATCCTCCCTCCTGGTGGCTCTTGGTGGTGCCGCCTCAAACCCCAAAACTTACCGCGGCTCGGTCGCTCGGCTCCGGGGTCGTCCGGGGGAAGTCGCCGGGGAGAGCTCCCTTGGCTGGGTCCGCTCCCGGCTTGGCCGTTCCCTCCGGGTCCGGCATGGCGGGGTTCGGCCCCCATTGGAGGAGGGGCTGGCCGACCGCCAGCG